CGGAAAATATGGGAAATCCTGTTATTTGTGTGTATCTATTTGTGTGTCCCAGTTCCCCTTCAGAAGAGCAGACTCGGAAACTGGAACATATACATTACCAGTGGCGGGCTGTTGTTCACCCCCAGGAAGTTTCGAGGGTCGGGGACGGCGTCGGGGTGGTGTGGTGTATACTTGTTTCCCTGTGTTGCCGTGGAAGCAACCAAAAATGTATACACCAGGATGCCGTAATCCGTTTTCTTGCGCGAATCTCAGTGCGGGACCGGAAAACAAGCATCGGTGTATACAGTTCGGTTCCTTACAGACTCTACCACCCTCCCCCCGCGACTTCTCGGTACCACGTGGGACATTGCAAGTGAGGTGGTATTCTGCGTCGTCGTTGTTTCCCCACACCATGAATATTTGCTATACCCCAGGGGGGCCAGGCATCGCCCCCCCCATCCCTGTTAACACTCGCCTCTCGCAAACGATCATGTGTCAGTTGTCCCGTGGAAAGCACACGCACGCGCGCCCACACGTCGAGCCTATCGGAACCACACCAGTGCATCATGGATTCGAGCAGCGAAAAGAAACAAGCCAACAAGCCAAACAAGTCAAGGATATTCCTTACAGGTCTTGCTCCTTGTCTGCCCGCGCGTACGTGCTGGAGTATGACGATTAATGAATGACCGGGGGTCGTGTTCACGCGGCGGCGCCCGGGATGACGATTAGAAAAAACCGGCCGCGGGCTGGAAAACTATGTTTTTAATCGTTCTCCTCCAGTCAGAGAATTGTGCAGCAATAGCAGGAAACTATTTGTTGAATCGTTCTCTCCCATTTTTTTATTCATCGCCATCCCGCATTAGCAATCTCGCCCCAACACCCGCAGTCTGGACTCGCCACGCGGGGCCTCCGCGTTGGTCCAGGCTGCGCCCGGTGCACGAATGCGTCTCAAACATTGCCGTGCGGGCCACACGTGCGCGCCGCGACGCGAGCGTCTCGAAATCCTGCCAAAACCATGGGTGACCGAAGCATCTCAAAATCGATATCTCCGAGCACGTATGAACAACCAGCTGTTCCTCAACAGAAAAGTGGGCGCAGTTCGTGGATTTGTGCGCGCGCACTTCCCCACCATCACCCTCATCAGCGACGCCGCTTGACGCCACCGTCATCGACAATCGCCGCAATTGCCGCCATCATTCAAGCATCTTCATCATGGACACGTGGACATTATCATCATGATCATCATCATCGCCATCATCAGAATCATCATCATCACCATTATCATCTTCGTTAGCACCATCGTCATCGCCACTGGCGTTACCAGCATTGGCGCCGTCATTGGCCGTGCCATCGTCATCGTCATCGTCGCCACAACCATCGCTACTATATTCACCGTTGCCGCCATTGTCGACGTCATCATGATACCGCGCCCCCGCCAAAGCCACCGACCCGTATTGAAGTGCCCGCTCGCCAGCGCGGCCTTTGACGCGTGTTCGGACCTTGCCATCGCCAAGCGCCATCGCGGCCGCATCGGTTGTGTCAAACCGGCTACGTAGCCGCCCTTCGCGCGAGCATGCGCGCGCCAGCGCGGCCGCAGAGATGCGCCAGCCATGGCCAAGCAGTCATCGCAATCGCCGCCGCATGGGTTTTGCAATCCAAGTTGCGGCTTGGCTTGGATGTGGGACATGCGTGGTCAGTGGAGTTGACAATTCATGAGTTGAGAAGAACTGATTGCACTATCTAGTCTACATCGCTGTACTCACATCTCAAAGCTTACCCCGCGTAGCTTGCACCACGTAGCTTTCCCGCGTAGCTTACACCACATAGTTTGCACCACGTAGCCTTGCACCACACATGCTTTGCAGCACGCTGTTCACACCACACTGATTACACCACATAGCTTGCACTGTACACAAATTGCACCACACCGCTTGTAGCTCGCATCGCTTGCGCCAGATAGCTTGTACACCCAGACTGCAAGAGCTCGTTGATTGGAATCTCAGCTGGTAAACATTCACAGTTTGACATGAGTTCTTGGGATGGCCTTGCGGCCAGTGTAGCCGACCCTGTATGCGGGACCTCCCCCGAAACCCCAGCTGGCGACCCCCCCCCCGGGACCTTCCGGGACCTGGTGGGGACCGTCGTTCTGACCCGGCCATGCACCCCCCCTTTCACGCACACACAAACAAACACACACGCACACACACACACACATACATACCTACTGGGGACGCCCCCCCGGTGGGGAACGGATCATAGAGAAAGGCTTCCCTTCGATTGGACTACGACGAGCCTCAATTTCCTTGTGGCTGGCGGTTGAAGAGGAGGGCCCGGGGAAACGGAACAGAGCGGCGACGGCAACGGCATGACGACGACGACGACGACGACGACGAGTCAAACGGAACAGCGTCTCCCACACGTCGACAGGGTCGGCTGATTTGCCATTTGGGGGCCTTGGGACTTTGGAGGCTTCCGTGAGCTCGAGCTCCAGAAATGCCTCCAGAGACTTCGGGGGTCTCCGGCCGAACCCGACCTGCCGCCCACATTCGGGTCCGCCCGACCCGACCCGTCCGCCCGAGATAGGGTCCGACCGCCCGACGCTACTGGCCGACTTAGGGCCGCCCGACCCGACCCGCCCGCCCGATCTAGGGTCTGCCCGCGTGCCCACCCCCGCGAGGAGAAGGAACCTCGAGGAAGAAAGGGGTTCAGTTCGGATGCCGAGGCCAAGGATCTTACAATGTTTCAGCGCAGTTCGTCAGAAGCCCAATGTGATTGCCGTTGTTCTTGCCAAGGCGGAGCGAAACGCGCCCGTGTTCGTTGCGAGCAGTTCTGCAACACACACACACACACACGCACACACATTCGGATGCAACTCCTGGGAGGTCAAATTCTGTTTTTGCCCTGGTCCGAAATCCGACTTAAGCCCGCTTAATCCCGCTTAATCCGGCTAAATCCGAGGCCCACTCCGGCATAACAGCCCCCCAATGGGACGCAATCCTCTTTTATCTTTCCGACGAAAACTTCCCAATAGTTGCCTCCTAACCTTGCCATCGCTCGGACGTGTGCATTTTTCTTCTCGGCGAGGACCATCGAGGAGCATCCTTGATCATTTGGCGAAAAACCACGCACGAAACCCCCAAAAAGACAGGGAATGGACGTCCGAGCGATGGCCAGTAGCACACAATTCGCCGAGCCCTGCGCGCGCACGGACCGGCTCTTTCGGGGGAATACCGTTGCGCGTCAGGGGCGCCGCGCCCTCCAGCCTCGACGGAATCTTGGCCGTGTGCCACAACCTGTCACCGGCGTCACCCGAACATACCTCTACTATACTCAGGAGGAAAAGAAGCACACAGACCCAATTCATCCTCGATCCCCCAGAAAATGTGGGAAAATATGGGGAATGGGGGGGAAGACAACAACCCAGAACATATGGGGAAAGATGGGGGATTGTTTCCCTACCTAGGCTCTGCCTAGAAGGGTTCTTACTCTCTAGCTTAAAGGGGCCGGGCAGTGCTACACGCCCCGGGCGGTTCTCCCAGTCCCCTGGGAGCGGTTCCCCCCAGTCCCCTGGGAGCTTTAGCTTTAGCTTTAGCTTTAGCTTTAGCTTAGCTGTAGCTTAGCTGTAGCTTAGCTTTAGCTTAGCGTTTCGCTTAGCTTTTCGCTTAGCGTCTGGCTTAGCTGTAGCTTAGCTTTAGCTTAGCTGTAGCTTAGCTGTAGCTTAGCTTTAGCTTAGCTTTAGCTTAGCTTTAGCTTAGTGTTAGCTTAGCTTTAGCTTGGCTGTAGCTTAGCTTTAGCTTAGCTTTAGCTTAGCTTTAGCTCAGCTTTAGCTTAGTTTTAGCTTAGCTTTAGCTTATATTCAGCTTAGCTTAAGCTCAGCTTTAGCTTAGATTTAGCTTAGCTGTGGCTTAGCTTTAGTTTAGCTTTAGCTTAGCGTTACTGTTACTATTAATGCTGCTTTCCTAGGGGTTCCAACTCCTAAGTAGGGTCGCACTGGGATAATTTTTCAATTGTGTGGATTTATTTGTGTGTCCCAGGGGCCCTTGATATACGTGCGTCGCCCCCCCCCCCCCCCGGGGGCGACGCGCGCACCGAGAGATCTCACAGTGCATGCGTCGTGGCGGGCGCTTTCTGGCCACACCGCTCGGGAAACGATGTGCCACAAGATGGGTGCACTCTATATGTTCGGGTGTTCGGGTCGGACGCGCGCGCCTCCCAGGAGGACCTATAGTATTGGTGTGCCTCTGTGCGTCCCATGTCATTGTGTGCCATGCGCGGGCAGTCGCACAGAACCCCCTCAGGCACGACCGCGCTCCGCCCGGAGCCGCGGCGGCCAGCGCCTCTGGTCGCGCGCGCCCCTCGCGGGCACCGGGCCCCATGTCGGCTGAGGCCCGGCCTGGTCGCAGCATGTCGAGCCCGCGCGCTGGCGTCCCACCCCGAAGCCTCCGACGCCGTGATTGTGTCAGGGCCCCTCTGTTTCAATGGTTTATGACTTGCGATGTTCCAGCTTGCCTTCGCCTCGAGCACCAGGGAAAACATCGAGCACCAGGAGAGCACCGAAGCTGGAGGGTGTTCACGCGTGGGGCCCTGGGAGGCGATACTCGTTCGACACTGCTTCAATACGTTCCTGGGTGCTCGAAATTATTTATCGCTTCGCTCATTCCGCCGGCCCTGGAGCGCTATTTGGGGCCTCTTGGGGCCGTCTTGGGGGCCTCTTGGGGGCTTCTTGGGAGCGTCTTGGGGCTCCTTGGCGGCGTCTTGGGCTCCCATGGGGCCTCTTAGGGGGCTCTTGGGGGCCCCTTGGGGCGGGAGGGGGGGGGTAGTCGATTGCAGCCACCCCCTCGGAGGCCACGATCCTCGTGAGGGGCGGGTGCTCGAAATGACTCCTGGGACGCGGTCTTTCAGCACGATGAGAGCAGCATCATTTCCAGCACGGGCCCCGCATGCTGGCCCGCGGTCGTCGCCGTCAGGGAGAGGCGGCGGGGAGCTCGCTGGGCCGCGGGGCGAGCGCCGCCCGGTCGCAGGCTGCGCGTGCTGAGGCTGTCCGACACGCGCATCGGCCCGGGCCCCAGAGGAGGAGGAGGAGGAGGAGGAGGAGGAGGAGGAGGAGGAGGAGGAGGGAGGAGGAGGAGGAGGAGGCGGAGGAGGAGGGGGAGGAGGAGGAGGAGGAGGAGGAGGAGGAGGAGGAGGAGGGCGCGGATCGGCCTGGAGAGGGCTCGGCAGATGCCGCAGCTGCACGCTGCTCTAGGGGAAACAAATCAGGAGGGAGAAAAACACACAGACACGATTAATCGCCGATTCCCCAGAAAATATGGGAAAAGATGGGAAGTGGTGGGGAGGACAAAAAACCAAGAACAGATAGGAAAATATGGGGGATTGTTTTATTTGTGTGTATTTCTTTGTGTGTCCCCGGGCCCCTTCCAAAAAGTGGCATAAACATAAAAACTCTGAGGTCCGCGCGGATTTCTCGGATCCGCGCGGACCTCCGAGTTTTTTATACTTATGCCACTTTTTGTTCCCCTATTCTCGGCAGTGACGGGCATGCGTACCCATCGGTCGTTGAAAATAGGTACTTTGGGATTCCCACATTCCAATCTGCTTCAAGCGCCTTCGTACTTCAATGATCGTGTAGCTCCACCTTTTCCGGCCTCCTTAGGGGGCTGACGGAACCCAATCTATTTTCAACGCTTTTCTACTTCATGTTTCTACCTACTTGTTCCGACCGATGGGTACCTCTGGCCTGCACGCGCGTGGCATGCGCACACCGATCCCGGCCCAGGGTCGGAGCAGATCCTTCCCTGGCCAAGCCGGGGGGGAGTCCATCCCCCCTCGAAATCAGACGCAAGTTTTTCCCGCGACGTGGCGGCGCCCCGGGACACCCAAAATCTCAACGCTCGCGCCGAAGCACAAAAATCTGACCCCGTGTGCCGCGTTTCGCGCGTCGACCGACATGAAGGACTTGCGCTTGATTTCGAGGAGGCTTGTGTGCACCGATCCTGGGCTCAGGACGGGCCCTGCCGGGACTTGTGAAGTGCACACGTCTGGCTCCCATCGCAGAGGGGTGCAGGCCGCCGCTCTCACATATGCCCAGGGCTGCCGAGGCTGGAAAAAGCGTGTTCTACCGCCCGCTGCTGGCGGAAAACCAGGGGGGGTCACTACCGCTTCGAACCCCCCCCCCCTCCGGAAAACCGGAGGGGGTCACTACCGGTTCGAACCCCTCCCCACCCCCCCCAGTCCATCATGAAAAGGAGGGGGGGGTCACTACCGGTTCGAACCCCCCCCCCCCCGAAAACCGGGGGGCGTCACTACCGGTTCGAACCCCCCCCCCTCGAAAACCGGAGGGGGGTGCGGACAGTGGTGGGGACGGTGGTGGTGGGGACGGTGGTGGTGGGTACAGTGGGGACAGTGGGACAGTGGTGGGGACCGTGGGGAAAGTGGGGAGAGTGGGACCGTGGTGGGACAATGGTGGAGAGAGTGAGGACATTGACACACTGGTGGGGGCACTGGTGGGGACAGCGGGGACAATGGTGGGAACAGTGGGGACAGTGGGACAGTGGTGGGGACGGTGGTGGTGGGGACAGTGGTGCGGGGACAGTGGGAATGTGGGACAGTGGGGACAGTGGGGACAGTGGTGGGGACAGTGGGGACAGTGGTGGGAACAGTGGGACAGCTCAGTGGGACAGCGGAGGAGACAGTGGGACAGTGGGGACAGTGGGAATAGTCGGGCAGTGGTTGGGGCCGTGGAGAAAGTGGGGAGAGTAGAACCGTGGTGGGAACCATGGGGGGGACGGACAGTGGGGACAGTGCGACAGTGGTGGGGGCACTGGTGGGGACAGTAGGGACGGTGGTGGAACCAGTGGGGACAGTGGTGGTGAGGACAGTGGTGCTGGGAACAACAGTGGGGGATGTGGTGCGGACGGTGGTAGGGACCAGGAGTCGTTTGCTGGCGGTGAGGGGGGGGGGGAGGGGTTCGAACCGGTAGTTCGGTTGACCCCCCCCCCGGTTTTCGAGGGGGGGGGGGGGGTTCGAACCGGTAGTGGCCCCCCCCCCTCGGTTTTCTTTGAGGGGGGGGGCTGGGAGGGGGGGGGGGGGGGGGGTTTTGCCAGGGAAGGGGGGGGGGCGGGGGGGGCGGGTCCAGCAGGGGGGGGGGGGTTCGGAGGGATGGGGGGGGGGGGACCCCCGGGCTCCCGAGGAAGAGGGGGGGAATTCTCCACAGTATAACGCGGCGGTGGATCACGCTCCCTCCGAGGCTGACGTCCTCAGGACTCAGGATTCGGGCGAGGGCAGCGTCGGAGAGCAAAGATCCCTCCCCGGCCGAGCCGAGAGGGCGCGCGCGGGGCCCACGCACCGCTCCCGGGCGCTCGGGGCGGGCGGGCCTCCTGCCATGGCGCGGTGGAAGTGCACACTGCCCCGGGCCTCCCCGCCGAGGGCTGCGCGCGCCGTTGTCTCTCACCGAGCACCGGGGAGGCCGCGCACCACAGATCGGGCTTGCCTATAGGGGCCTCTGCGGCCTCTCTCTCCCCCACACCCCCCTTCCAGAGGAGGAGAAGGAGAGGGAGGAGGAGGAGGAGCAGGAGGTGATGATGAGATGAGACAGCGGCCTAAAGCCAGGTTCGCAGTCTTAGCCGACGGATTCGCCGTCGGAGTCAGACGAGGCCTCCCCCTCCGAGTCATCTGCACAGAGGGTCCTGCCGCGGGCTTCCACCGCAGCCAAATCAGCCTCGCCTATGCCAAAGGCTCCTAGCACGCAGGACCGAGGATCGCTGGGGCAAGGGACCCCCGACACCGACCCCAGGGACCCACCAGGCTGTGGTCCCCCTTGGCCCTGCGGGCTAGGACTGAACAGGGAGCGCATCCTCAAACGGATCTCCGCAGGGACTCCTTCCGGCGCTTCCAGCACCAGATCCTTGAGCCCCTGCTTGTAAGACGGATACTGCCTGGCCCTGATCCGACGCAGCTGGTCGACCAGGCCGGAACCAGCATGCTCACGGTAGCAGGGTTGGAGAAGGGCCCTCGTGGGCCGAAAGCCCGAGAAGTAGGCCCCACAGGCGCAACAAAACGACACGGCACGATTATCGTCACGCCCGCTCCTCGACACCACCCTAGCATGCAACAGAGGGTGGCCATTAAAGTTATAGCCCGCGTCACGGAACTCCTCCCACCCCTCGGCGGGAGGCTGAGCTGGCGCATCAAACGATTGAGGCACACTCTCAGGCGCCGGATCTGGAGCCTCCTCGGCTGCAGCACGCGCCCCAAGGTATGCCTCGAGCAAATCGTCGTGATCCTTCCCGGCCAGCCCATCCCCCAACAACGCGTGAACCTCCCCGGACCACTGAGCAGGCTCGCGTGCTAAATCTAAAAGCCCGCGCCACAGGTGGTAGTGTCTTTCCTCTACCCCGTGGCTGCTCGCTCCTCGCTTCGCGAACTCGTCTGCGGCATCGTTGCCGCGCTTCTCCCATAACGTAGTCCTGCCGCTGTACACGTCGGTCATGCTGCAGTGAGCCTTCGTCTTGTGAGCCTCGAAGTCCCCGGGGCCGAACGAAGCCCAGAAAGGGGCCCACATGTGGGCCCTCGGGTTCCCGCACCCCGAACCAGAGCCAGGCCCCTTCCGCAGCGTCGAGACCGTGCCTTTACAATCTCCGTAGATCTGGAACGGAGGTATCGCTACCTGCGTGAGGATGCTCACTGCGAAATCCTCCGCATCCCTCGCCGTTTGACGAGGGGCGAGGTCAAGAGGGAGAGGGCCATAGGCCGCAGCCAACACTCGGCCATGGTCATCGCACATGACCACCGACCAGCCTGCGCGGGCTAAACCTGGCGCTCGGGTCCACATCGCCGAGCCATCGGTGAATAACAGCCCCGATAGGTAGCCGCTGCTGGGCCTCTTAAACCAAAAGATAGTCTGAGCCGGCACGGGGAACGTGAATAGCGGCCCTGGGTCAGGGAAAATGCCCCTGGCGAAAAGCTCCCCGGCTTCAAAACTCCAGGACTTCACCGCGCCGGCTCTCCGAAGGTGGTCAGCTGTGACTCTGTCTCTCCTGAGCGCCGCGTGTGCATCACAAGCATAACACCGATGCCAGATCGACCCATCGGGGTCGCCACATAGAGCGCAGGCTCCCGAGGCAGCCAAACCGTGCTTGTGCAGCCGAGCTTGGGACCACCAAACTCCGGAGAAAACTGCGCGCAAGGCACGGTGGTGCCGGACGGTCCAAATCGAAGTCTTCTTTGAAAAGAGTTGATTTGAACAAGCCCAAAAAATGGGCAGCTTCCATGGGCTGGAATGCGCTTCCAGCGCTCTACGGTCGGAGGCTCTACTCACTCCGGTCTCCACCAGCCGCTTCAGCAAAGCAGGAGCCAGTCGAACGAGGTTGAGCTCCTGCCCCTGATCTGTGCGAATTACCTGCGAAGACGTCGGCTCCCAACCTATGCCTTGCAACGTGAGGTAAAATACATCAGCCGGAGTCGCCGCTCCTGTCCACGGCCTTGTCGAAGCCTGGCATCTGGTCCTAGCTGCATCGAGCGTTTTGGTCAGGATCGATGGCTTCGGATCCCCTTCCCAGACTGCGGAGGCCCACTGGTGCAACACGAGCCCCGTCGAGATCACCCATGGGTCCACGCGGAAGCCGTTCTTGAAAGTGTAGAGTCTGAGGCCAACCGTGGCACCACGAGGGAAACGTCCGAGGCTCCGACACGTGGCAACTCGCAGCCGATGCAGCTCAGACGGTGGCACACCCATGACACACACTCCCCACAACGCAGCCGCTGTCGGACCAGTCCTCTGAATCCATGTTACATCAGCCCCAGCCTCCCGCAGGCCGGCCAGGCGTCCCGCGGCCCTGGCTGCTTTGCTCCACCGCGCTCGGGTCACACCCACACGACGGACCCCTCCTAGCGACGCATCCGTGCCGAGATTACGTGCTGTGTCGACTCTACTCGAGGCTGGGAGGGTCCATTGTTCGCACAATCGCTGAGCCAACTCTGCGCTGCTCGCCAAAAACTTGCACTTCGTCCATTCGATTGGGAGGCTGAGCTCCCGGAAGTACCCGAGCAGGCCCTCGA